AATAAATCTTTCAAAAAAAAATCAGTCTTCATTAACCAGAATTCTCAGAAAATGGAGTCGGGTGTTTAGTGTTGTGCTTATTTGAGCAGTATTTCTATAATATTCTCTACTTCAACACTTGTCTCTGAGAAAAGTAAAGTTTAGAATCAGATTGCTATGTACAAATCCCAGCTATAACACTTAATAGCTGGTGACCTTGGACAAAGTATGAACCTCTCTGTATTTTTGTTTCTTTATATAGAAAATGGGGCTGATAATGGTACCTACTTCATAAGACTGTGAGCAGTAAATGAGCTAGCCTAATTAAAGTGCTCAGAACACTACCTGAAACTTAGTGAACGTTATATAAATGTTAGCTATGAGTATTAAATTGTGATGCCATCCAAGAAATGTTAATTCTGTAGTATTCTAAATGGAAAGGCATGGGAATTTTGGACTAAATTTGTGGTGAGGTTAAATACCAAAGTCGACACAGGAAACTGAAATACATAATTTGTTTTGTTACCTTCTTGACACCTGACTCCTTCCTTCAAGTGCAGTAGAAAATTTGAATCAGTTGAGGTCTTTTCTCATTCTTTGATTGTTTAACTTGAAGTCTAAATGTACTGTAAGAAAATATTTCCTTCCTATAGCTTTTTTAAAAAGCCCTGTTGATAAGCTATGGAAACATTACAAGGAAAAAGGTTTTGAAATAGTGTGTGTCATATGACCCTACTTCTATAAATTTTATATATGCATCCTATTTATTGATAGAAAACTAACCATAGATATAATATATAAATGAGCTTATCTAAATGTTATACAAATTATTTTTTCCATAGTGACTTTTTCATTTATTTCTACTTTAAAAAATTTTTTTGCCATGAAAGCTTATCTTATAATCAAATACAGCTTTTTTCAAGGTGTTTTTATTGTCCAGTATTTTTTCAGAAATGCCCAAATAAAACCATTATTTCAGGCCTCCCTGGTGGCCCAGCGGTTGAGCGCTGGGTTGCGAAGCTGCCCGCAGCCTCTGCAGCGCCGGTTCGATCCTCAGCTGCTCCCAGGCCACCGGAGGAGGGTCCCACATGGCGCGCAGACCTCTCCTGCCTCCTGCTGCTCCCCTCAGCAGTGTACTTCGGTCCTTCTGCCTGCTCTGCTCCCCGCTCTGGCTCTGGTGAATTCTCTCACCCTCCCGCGCTTCTGACTATACCCAGTGCTTGTATAAATAAATAAATAAATAAACAAACAAAAACAAGAGTTCTCCTTTAAAAAAAAAAAAAAAATCATTTCAAGGTTTACATCAGAGATATAAACTAAAACTGTTATATGTTCTTCCTTATCAAGTAAGCATGTTGAGGTTAATTATATGAAATCTGTGGTTCAGCTGCTATGAATTTTTTTGAGAAACTCAATGAGTGACCCAGTAATTCCAGACTGAGATGACTTGTACTTATGGAATTACGTTTCATTTCAGTGAAAAGGCAATTAAATGTGTTTCACTTTATTATAAACTCGTTGCCTTAAAACTAGTTCAACTTTACTATTAGAAGCTATTTACTAAAAGTATGAAACAAGAAACTGACCATTCCTGATCAGCCTGTCAGCACATAATCAGCTTCTGGTTTTTTTGTAGATGCATATATTATTTTATTTCAGCCTGTTAAGAATATGTTTTTTCCCTGTTACTCAATAAACATAAGTATTGAGTGAGTGTCTATTTTTCGACTAAGCTGTATGATAGCTGATATGAGTTTGTTGTTTTTTTAAATAGGAGGATGTTAAAGTTTCCAACCTTACCCTTAAACACACCTTATCAGATTTTTTAAAACATAGCTAAATCATGAGATAATAATTTAAAAAGAACAGTTTCATATTACCTATAGAGTTTTAAGAGATGTACAGTAATAGTATGAACAAAATTATGCAAAGATTTGTATGGGAGTTTCTTTAGGGAACACTTTTTGAAATTCTTGACATTCTTAATTTTAGTAGTTACACTGTATTTAAGAGTATGTTCCCAGTTTATTTATGCTACTTCTGAATGAAGACCACTATTAGTCATTTTTCTGCTTTCATTGTCTTTAAAATCTAGAACTTCCTGTTAGTTCTTACCACTCTTCTGCTTATAAAACCTCCAGTTCTCCACCATACTGTTGTACCTTCATTTTCCCAGCAATATCCATCCACTCCTGGCTATTTCCTATTCCTCAAACATGGAATTCCTTTTTCACCTTTTCAAGACTTTGACCTTTTCCTAGAATGTTCTTTCCTTTTTAAGTCCAAGCACAATGTCACTGTTACATCAGGATTGATTTCTCCCTCTTACACTGCTGTTTTGATGTGGTATCATAACTAAGGACACCTAATTTCAAAATTGAAACCATATTTTACTCATCTTTTTATCACCTACCATACACATTTTGAGCTTGCAATGTCCTTTTCACTACCCTCTGTAACAGTTGACTGGGTGCAAGAGGTGAGAGTCAGATTTTTAGAGTACATGTTATGTTGTTAAATTCTCAATGTATATAATGTTTGCATTGATACATGCATATATAGCTATATACACTTTTTAATAGACATGGTTGTTAATGGAAATTAGGCAACAGTAAGGAATCTAAAATACTATTAGAAATTTACTGGTGCAGATTCCATGAGGTTGTGTCCAAGTGAGCCTACATGCGACTACTACAACATACAGTCTGTCGCTACTTATTGAAACTCTCTGAGTCAGACTTTTTATTCGTAGGAGAGAATCTTAGGCAAGTGGCATACAAAGTTGATATCCAAAATTTAGTAATTTAAATGAACAAATCAGACCCACATTTATACATAAGTTGACTCTTTTTTTCCCCTCCCAAAGTTTTATTTCAAGGCCACTGTAGCCTTCAGTATATTTTGAATGAAGTACAAACACAAGCAATATGAAAAACACTTGAAGGTTTTTAAAGGGTGTGACTACTTTAAACTCTTTTGAGTCAGATTTTATAGTACAGTGAGTTCTCCCAGGTATCCACGTTTCTCTTTTTCAATTTAATGGACTGCAGTTGTGACAAGTCCAGTGTAAAAAATTACCTTCAATACAAATGTAAGAAGAGCTGAACTCAAATTCTGATACTACTACAGTGGCAATACCTAATAGGGAGGATCCTAATGTTACCTCATTTAAATGAATGAATGAAGGTATAAATAAATTCATTAAAAAACATTCTAATGCTATAGAGTATGCTTGTGTGTGCATGTGTGTGTATCATTTCCATCACCTTAAAAGGTCTTACTCACATACCATTTCTATGCCTACCCTTTATTTTCTTAGGGGTGGAAAATGTCAGCATACACATTTTGGAATTTTAGAAATAGATTTGAAATATTTGTCATTTGATAGACTGAAAAAGGGATTGAATGTTAATTGTTAGACTAAAGAGTAAGAAAGAAGTTTATTCTCTTCGTTTACTTACCTATAAGTTTAAATGTTCACAGAAAAATTCATCGGGAGAAAGTCTAGGAAACAACATCAGTCTCTTTATTATAAATAATGAAGGAAATGTATTTTTTTGTACAAAGTTAGACTGTTGAGAAGTCATGTGAGACATGACCATAAAAACACTGTTGCCTTAGACATAGCATAATTTTACTAAATCCTTCATTGTTAAAGAATTCATTATATTTTCACTTTGTTGTTAATATGTTGTTTAGTTCGAAATAAACTTTGTCTGTAAAGACAGTTAATGCTAGATTTAATTTAGTCCTTGAGCAGAGGCTTCCAAGTAACTACAGTGTTGCTACTATCAACAATCATCAATACCTGACATGGGATCTTTATTGCTTCTGTTACTTTAAGGATTAATAAGGCTGGAAATGATTTCTGACATTTATAAGAGAGCAAAATAGATTTATGATGTGGTCAGAGGAATCATTTCATTGACCTTTTGGTTGTAGAAACTTGTATAGATAGTGCTATAGTTTGGCTCATCCTTATTGAAACTTCATTTACCCTGAATCTGGATAGTTAATTGTTTTTATCTGGCTTCTTAAAAAAGATTTGTGGTAGCTTCTAATAGTTTACTTAAGTCTTGAGCTACTTCCTTTAGCTCAAGGAATACTCTTAGGGAGGAGACAAAATAGAGTTCATATTCACTACTCAAAGCTTATTATGTGGATCTTAATAACTATTGATAAGTTTACTTAGTAAAAATAAATTTGTACTCTTAACAGTCTGCTTAAATTTACCAACAGTGCTTTCAGCTTAGGGAGGGGCTGTCACTTAAGTGTTTCATTTGTGACCTCAGGCAGATTACTTAGCTCTTTAAGGATTTATTTCTTTGTCAAATGACCTTAATACATTAAGGAAATAACCTTTAAAAGTGTTAAATAAGCTGCATTTTCATTGAGCCCTTGGTACATTCCTAGTGTAAGGATTAATACTTTGTTTTATTTTTTTAAACATGCAACCATTCTATAAAAGCCCCTCCCCCTTCCTCCTTTGGAGAGGAGGGAGTCTCTAGAAGGGCCAGCTTAATGGGCATGGAACCTCTGGAAGTTATACAAGGCCCAGTGCTTGATGTAATCTTTTGCTATTACCAAATCAAAAATTCTCACTTATTTTTAAATAATAGGCCCTGCATGTTCCCTCTGCACTGGACCCCACATGTTATATAGCTTGTCCTCATTCCCAGAAACTTAATGTCATAATACATTTAAATAGACCATGAGTAGGATTGTCTATTCTCGTATAAACCAAGTCTGTGACCTTACCAGTTACCTGAACTGCAAAAGACACCTTTATATACGAATTTTATTTGAATGTGTTTTTAAAAGGCAAAAATAATGTACCTGACTTGTGTTAACTGAACTGTAAACCTTTTAAATACTAGCTCTCCAAGGATTTTTGAATTTTGCTGTTTTAAACAAAACTCTGTCATTTTAGGATATAAAGTGCTTGCTTAAAATACAGAAGCATCTTCTTAGGTGAAATAAATTAAATTCAAAGCAGTATTTAACTCAGTATACCATTACAGGTTATCAAGTTATGCCCAACCAGCAGCAAAACTACCAAGGAATAGTTGGAGTTCAGCAACCTCAGAGTCAGAGCCTGGTTGGTGGCCAACCCAACAGCATTGGAAATCAGATCCAGGGAGTGGTGATCCCCTATCCTTCAGTGCCATCCTATCAGGTATGTTTTTAATCTTACCTACTTTGGTAGAGGTGATTTTGAATAAAATGTATAGATATCTACAACACACCTTTTTCTTTTACTATAGGAAAAATGTTTTTGTAATACATAATGTGTTATGTGACTAACTTTATTAGTCACAGCAGCTTTGTTTTACCCTCATTTTATTGCTTTATTATTCACATAATTTTCAGGAAAAAATACCTGAACCATATTGATATTGGCAAGTAGATGTTATCTGAGAGTGTCTATATTTCCATCTGTATATAAGTATATAAACAAGTATCTTATTCTATTCTTCAACTCCTTAGAAAGGAGGGAAGAGTGTAATGAGAGGGGAAAATAGAAGTGGAGATAGGTATTTGAAATAGTGAGTTAGAGTACAGGTGATAAATCGGTGTTTATAGAATAAAGAATGTGCAATTTCCAGTGCTGGAAGTGATATTCCCTCCTCCTTAATCCCAAAAGAATGCTTTATCATGGATTACAATTTAGTTTTAAAGTAGAAATGCCTATCATGTAATAAATAAGTGTGATATCTTTAGTATAAAATGGTACATTTCAGAAATTTGTTTGATCATTATCTTTTGGGAATAACTTGCAAATGGGTTTGTTTTATTAGACTTGTGGTTTTTCATAGCTAAGTATTATGTTAGGGAATCCAAAAATCATTTTCATTCATCCCAAAAAGGTAAAAATACTGTTTTGTGAGATAAATGTTGCTTGTATTTTATTGAAACACATGTAAACAAATTGGTAATGGTCTACCCACCAGTAACTGAAAGGATCAGTCATTAACAGGTTAGGGAGTTAATATAGAAATCTTTCTGAAAAATACAAACCTTTAACTAGCTCTAAAGACAAGTATGGGCATAAATTCATAAAGAGGACATTTTAGGGGTGTGAAAGTATGTGAGCAGGTACTAACATATTCCATTTGTGACTTCAGAAAATTAAAAATGAAATGTAAAATGTGGAATTGTCAAGTATTCTTGAATACTAAGAATATGTCTAGTTTTGAAGACCCTTGATAACAGAAAACAGCCGAGAAAAAAAGAAACACATTCTTGAAACTACATTTTGCATCTTTGTTTTCTCTCAATATCCCCCATGCTTTTTTTACTCCTTACCTTCCTGTTTGGGCCTAAGCACATCATACTGCCCATTCCTTACTCCCTCCATAACTAGATATTAGACAGGATCTGTCTGAGAAAGCTAACTCTCCCTCCTCAAGTATTCTGGTCATGCTACCTGATCCAGTACCTTAAGTATCTGTTAGATGCCCAGGCATTATATATAAGTAAGATCTATTCTTGACCCTTAAAGACTCAGTCTCGTGAGAAATTATTTTTAAATAAATTCTAACTCTAATAATGTAGTTTTATTGTTTGATTTTTTTAATGGAACTAGATATTAAAAATGTTGTAGAACAAATAAAAGTTACTTTAATTTCTATAGCATACTTTTTTTACAAGTCTTAAGTTATTTTCTCATGTTTTCATGTAATACTGGGTAAATGACTATGAGAAGTGTTGTTCTGACAAGCGATGAATGTCAACCCATTTTATACTTTTGCTACATTACATTTAGTACATAATGTGGGTGGTGATAAGCTGTTATGTAAAAGATAAGCCAGAAAAATCATTTGTCCTTAGTAGAGTATATTTTGTGGCTATATAGTGTCAAGGACTGTTTCTTCTCTTCTTTGTACTTAATGTTTTTTTTTTCCCCTAGACCAACCTTGCATATATATTATTTTAGATACAGTCAGAAATTACAATCTCAGAATGTTTCACTGCTTCCACAGACAAAAATACTGAAATATATTGTATTATACAGTTGGCTAAATCAAATCAATAACTTTCTCTTTGCAATAAGTGAGTCAAAGGGAAAGTTATTAAGAAATCACTATTATTAAAGAAATAGTTGTATTCCAGAAACATGTTATATTGTGAAGACCTGGAAATTAGTCATTGATATATAAATCACAGAGCCCTATTATACAGAGTAATAAAGTGGCAGAAGAATTGGGGCTCTAGAGCCAGAGGGCATAGGTTTCAAATCCTGACACTTTCCTATTTAGTATCTGTACAGTCTTGGGCAAGTTACTCATCTTCAGTTTATCTATAAAATAGGAATGATAAAAGTACCTTCTGAGAGTTGTTAGGAAATCGTGATACACAGAAATTTCTTAGAACAGAACCCAACGTGTAAAGTACCCAATAATGTTAACTTTCATTATTATCGCTTTTGCTGTTATCATTGCTACTACTGTTGCTGATATCATCATCATCATCATCAAAAACTTTTATGTTGGCTTTATATACTGAAATTACCATAAAAAACCCAACTCTAATATTGCACTTGTAAATGAAGATTCCATTAAGCCTGTGTGGTTTCTATGAAACTAGAAATTAGAGAATTGAAATAGAGAATTGAGGAATCCATTACAGTTTCAGTGTAGATAATGTAGAAAAGAGTTTGGAATATCCACTGTTCACCAAATGTCTACTGTGCCTGGATCCTGTAAACAGAAAACACAATGGAGTTAGTACCTCTCCTATGATGTCTGGGGCAATAGAATAATGAAGTGATTTACTCAGTGTCACATAGATAATAAAGAGAGGGAGCCAGTAGCACGTGTAGACATCTTAAGGCCAAAAGTTACTCTTTCTGATCCATTGTATCTCACTGGTACCCTAAGTGATTTCTTCTTAGGGAAAATATATTACTCCTTTAATGTCAAGAAGTCATTCATATTTGGAAACAGTTTCTTTTTTAAAATAACTTTTTACTGAGGGCCATGAGTCATGTTATTTAAATAGTCTAATGCAACTAGCCTACTGTAAATAGATGAATATTAGCAAAAAAAAAAACAAAACAATATTTAGCTGAGAAAAAGAAAAAAGAATGTAGTGCTGTGACATATGCAGCACTATAATAATGCAATTTTAGCTTATTTCTAACTGCTCATACTTGAAGAGTTTATAAAGGCTGGAGATACTAGCATTCTCAAGGTTTTAAAGAACCTTTTTCCCTTTAAATTCTCTTTCAATTTTTAGGTTTCACTGCCTCAAGGTTCTCAAGGAATTGCCCATCAAACTTATCAACAACCTCTTATGTTCCCCAATCAGTCTAATCAAGGATCTATGCCCACAGCAGGAATGCCAGTTTATTATAGTGTCATTCCACCAGGCCAGCAAAATAATTTAAGGTGAGTATGTCTGAGAAAGCTAATTCTATGGCTTCTTATCTTTTACCAAGATTATAATCTGTTGTTAATATTAAAGTTGCCTACAAGGCAGTACCGGAGGATATTTTCTATTTTTTAATGTATATTTTAACAAATAAGTATAATAAGCAAAGCATTCCTTTGCAAAACTAAGGAGAGTCTAATCTTCTCCCTTGTGCATAAAATTGGGCCAGTCTCCAATGTGCCTAAATGGTATTATAGCTGTCCATAGACTTTGGAGTTTAGAGCATTTGTTTAATATAGAAAAACATCTTGCTGAAATTTTTCAGGCTCTGGGAAAATCATTGTTATCAGTAAATGGAGGGAACCATTTAAGTGAAGCAAATAATTGTACCTCTGTTAACCAAAGATATAAAGTATTCTATTAGCTGCTTTAACTTTTTAAGAGCAGAAACTTCTTTGGTAAGCCTAAAGTGTTAAATTAATAATAGTAATTGGGTACATCTCATCCATTTTTCAAATGTACTACAATCTTTCATTTATTCTCATGACATCTTTGTAAGTTTGCTGGAGGGGCCTCTGCTCTTTTTAAGACAGGTCTTAAGTTACAATTACTGATAAGAGGTTGTCATCCTGGTTTGGTTTTAAGTGATATTTAAAGCTGAAGAAATGCTGACATGTTTGCTTTATTGAATCTGCTTGGGAAAATGGGGGCTTGGTTCTCGTTTTACTTTGTTGTCACAACCATACTCAATCCCCAGAAGAATTCACGTATTTCCTTTCCCTTTTCTGCTGTGTGACTGCCAATGGCTGGGTCCCTGATTGAAGAGGTCTAGGCTTTTTAAATAAGTTGGTTGTATTGCAGTTTCTTATTATTGTAAGTGCCAGCTCTTTTGAGGGAGTAGTACTACATAGTGAATATAGAAATGTATACTGCGCTAAATTTCCCAATTTTTGTATGAATTTATGTTCTATAAATAGGGGAAAACACTCTCAATCTGAGCCTCTTTTATGTAAATTTGTGGTCTATATAATGCCAGGTCAGATTCTGAATTGTTAGAGTCAGAATTCTGTCTGAAACAGGTGAAGTAGATAGTGTGAGAATTGCTGAATTACCTGCTTTTTGAGCAAAATGTAGTCTTATTTATCTGAGGGAAGATTACCAAAATAACCATTCCTGTATATAGCAGAAGCTAAGAGAAATAGATGTTACGTAGTCCAGTAACTCACTTGAGACCAAAAGATGCATGTTATCTAAGTTACTTGTGTAGGCCTTCATCCTGGGCAGAGGAGCTTTTGTGAAGAACAGAGATCAAGACTAAGAACCTATGTAACGTGGCCTTAGATTTAAAAACTTTCCCATGTTGTTATATTCATTAATTACTTGAAACAAGTTCTGCTTGACTTCTGAGAAAACTGGCTCTGAGAGTATGTTGAGAAGTAAGGGTACAATTCTGAATGCCCATTACATTCCACCTCATTTTAAGTATGATGGCAAAATCCAAAAGTTGTCGAGTAAATGCTGATGACTATGGTTTAGAAAGAACCATACATATTCCTAATCTCTGGGACTACTTTTTTTTTTCCCCCTAAAGATTCATTTATGTATACAAGAACTAGAGTACAGGCCAGCATGTTGGGGGCGGTGGTGAGAGGATTCACCAGAGACAGAGTGGGGAACAGAACAGGCAGATTGCAATACACTGTTGAGGGCGAGATAAGAGAGATCTGCTGCACCACGTGAGTCACCTTCCTGGCCTGGAATCGAACTAGTGCTGCAATATTTGCAAATAGCTTCATAGTGCTGAAGCCTAACCCTTTGCACCACCAGGGAGGCCCCTTCTGGGTCTCCTTTTGTTAGGAAAATACAGAGCTAGCCTTGGCCTGAAGTTCAGCTTGGAAAAATGGCAATTAAAAGATAAGTGAATTTCCCCACAGACTCCAACTTGAATCGAGAAAAATTCTTTGGAATAACTCATAATTTAGGACTGTGACCTAGATAAGGCAGATAAACTGAAATAACCTATCTATAAATTGACAGTAATAATTAGTTATCATTTAGCAAACTGGTATTGATTTATTCTAACTACAGATTACTAACATGAGGAATAGATTGGTTATACACAAAGTAGGAGTGTGTGCCCTGTCCAGTTTGTATCCTGGTACCTTTTGGACTCATTATTTAGTAGAAAGTCAAGTCATAATCAGAATTAATTAATGTCACCCTTTGGGTGAAAACACATTTGTAAGTCGCTAATGTATTTTCTAAAATATAACAGAAAATTGTATTTCTGATTCTGGATTTTTTTTTATTTGCCATAATATTCCAACTTAGACAACTTTATTATTAATCAGATTGTTGAATTACTATCTAAAAGATTATATATAGAGACTATGCCTTCATTAATCTAGATTTACTAGCATGTATAAATTATATATTTTATCTTACATATTTCAGTGTATTTACATGTATAGCGGTGATTTGTATGACCCTAGACCAGTCCTGGCCCACAGTAAAAGCTTAGTAAATTAATACTGAATATACTTCTTTAATGTCAAAAGGAAGACTAACTTACACATGTGTGTTTGTGCACCTATGTAATTATTACTTATATAACATATTAGTGGTCTTAATTTTGCTTTGTTCTTATAACTCATTTTTAATTCTATTATAAAGTAAACATGCTTGTTGATTCATACGAAACCATCAATGCAAAATGTAAAAAAGGAAAGCAAATTATGTTGTCCCACTCCGCCCCCACCTCCTAGTAACCACTGTTAATGACCTAGTATGTATTCTTTCATTAGAATTAGTGTGCATTAGCCTTTTGCCCATATAAACATATACATAAATAAATACAAGCATGTCGGTTCTCAGATTCTAATCAATAGGTATGATCTTACATATTTTCCCTTAAAATTTATCATGAATATCAAATTAGTAAATATTAGTCTAGAACATTATAGTTTGGAGATTTATGTGTGTATTTTTCTAATTTCTTTCCAAGCATAATTTTACATAAATGGGAGCATGACATACAAGCATTTTTTTGTTGTTACTAAAACTGCCTTCTCTCTCTCCACCACTTCTGCCTGGATCATTTCCTACATGCACACATGCTGAATAACCCATGTTACTATCCTCATTTGTATCCTTCCTTACCTTTCTCCTTGTACCTGATTATATACCAACATAGATGTGAGTACGGAAACATGAGTGGAATTGATTAGCACACAGACACAGGAAGTAGAATTATGAGTATTTTTAAATTTAAAATGTCTACAACTGGGGGTTTCTTTGGTTCTTCTGTTATGGCCATATCATGTGTGAAATAATAGTAAGAAAATTTGGTCCGTTCAAATATTGTATTGCAGCTGATGTAGATTTTTTTCTACCATCTTATATTTGTTTGTTTTACTGTACTGTACTTACAACTGCATGCCTGATGGATCAGTTCTCTGCCATTTACTCAGAAGCCCAGTTATATCCATGTTCCTTGAGGCTCTTCTTCATAGATCTTACTGACCTGATATTGAGGCATGAAATATTCTAAGTTAACTACTTTTTTAGATAACTCAATCTGGAGCCATTAAGCATTTGTTATTGGTGGCATGATGTGATTTGAAAGAATATGGGTTTGGGAATACAATAAAAAGTGACTTAAAGTCTTTATGACTTTAGGTAAGTTGCTTAGTCTTTTTGTACCTGGTTTTCTCATTTTTAATAAGGTAAAATACCTCACAGGATTGGTAAGAGGAATTATATGTATAGGACTTTGTATATGGAAATTACTCTAAAATATACACTTGCCTTATTGTTATGTATATAATACACTGAAAATAGTTAAACATTAATAGGTCAAGTATCTTTGATGCTAACCTGGTTCTGAACTCTGTTTTGTGGTGATTAGACCCTTCCCCAAAAAGCAAAAACAAGAAAGCTGAAAGAAGCTGTGATATCACTTATTTGTCCTTATATCAGCAAATATTTTCAAGTTGGGTGTTATTCCCAAATAGACTAAATATAGTAAGATGTAAATTTCTTTATTATTACTTCTTCTTTTCTTAATTACTTGTCCTTTCTGGGTAACCAGAATCTGTATCTTTGATCTTTTCTGATGTGCCAAACCAGTACTTCTTAAAAGATACTCCCTTTTGTGGGTTTATGAAATTGTATCTGTTTATTTGAAATGTATATTTATTAAGATAAACTGAGAAATAAAGTGCATTGCATTATCTCTTCAGGGTTATTTATATAAAGGAATATATATACAATTAACCCTCATTGTGGATATGTTTTTGCTAATGTGCCTATTTGCTAAAATTTATTTGTGATCCCAAAATAAATATTTGCAGTGCTTTCTAAGTCATGTACAGCCATGTGTAGAATAGGAAAATATTTGAGTCACTGGACATAGACCAACTGAGGTCAAACAAGTTGACATTCTGTTTCCTTATTTTAGCTCTCATACTACAAACAAATGTTCTCTTCAGTCTATTCAGTGCTATAATATTTGCACTTTTTTTCCCCTCTTGGTGATTTCACTGCTAAAATGACCCGCAAACATAGTGCTGAAGTTCTGACAAGTGTTTTTTTTTTTTTTTTTAAGATTTATTTATTTATTTATACAAGAACTGGGGTACAGGTCAGAGGTGCAGGAGGGTGAGAGAATTCACCAGAGAGAGTGGGGAAGACACTGCTGAGGGGAGCAGCGGGCGAGGCAGGAGAGGTCTGCCACACCATGTGGTTTTCTCCCTGGCTGGCTGGGAATTGAACCCGCACTGTAGAGGCTGCAGACAGCTTCACAGCGCAGGTCTCAACCCGCTGTGCCACCAGGGAGGCCCATTCTATCAAGTGTTCTTGAGCTAAATAGCTGTAAAGTGTCTTAAAGCATAAATATGTGTGTTCAGGCATGAGATCTATTGCTGTTGACCATCAAATAAATGTTAATGAATCAATAATATAGCACTCCAGAAAGTGCAAAAATAATATTTAAAATATGTGATGAAGCTATGGGAAA